CCGGCAGGGTTGCCGTTTCTGGAGAGCATCAACATGGGTGTTTACGAAAATGGTAGGATCCCCTTATAATAAGGACTCCAAGAAGGTACCCCTAACATCGTAAACCCCCACATAGGAGCCATGCAGGTAGATCTCGTTCGGCCAGGCTTCGGGTTGTTTTGTTGGCTTAGGGTTTAGGGTTTAGGGTTTAGGGTTTGGCCCAGCGAGAGAGAAAGTGCAGCATTGCTCAGCAGAGTCTCAACATCCCCGCTTGGATGGGGCACGAAACCCACAGCCCCAAAGCCCCGAAGCCCAAAGAAGTGGGTTTAGATTTCTTATTCTTCTATTGGCATATTCTTATTAAACATGACTATTCGTAGTATTAGCATGATTGTTATGAAAATATATCACATATCAACCATACACTATGTGCATATCATATGTCTCATATGGGTGGTTGTCAAAATTATGATCCCTTTTGGGGTACCCCAAGTATTAGGTGCCGTACTATAATAGGGACCCTTATATTGGGACCATGATTTGGACAACCGCCCATATGTATGACGCGGTATAAGCTGTCATAGGGTTACGGGGTTTGCGGATCCCGGCTCCGCTCCTGGAGCTGCCAAAGGCTGCCACTGCTGGAAAGCAGATGCCCTTTCAAGCTTCCTTTGAGTTCAGGGCTTAGGGTTCAGGGCTTAGGGTTCAGGGCTTAGGGTTCAGGGCTTAGGGCTTAGGGGTTAGGGCTTAGGGGTTAGGGCTTGGGGTTTAGGGCTTAGGGCTTGGGGCTTAGGGTTATTCCTCCAAATCTATTGATCTTACGTTTTTTTCACTCCTGGGGTCTTTGGGTTTTCACAGTCTGAACCTTCGTGTCATGTTGGACAGGTAGAATATGGCAATGATAGTTCGTTGGTAAAGATCATGAGGGTTTGGGGTAAAGTGCAACTCTTGGCAGTTGAGTTACAAAGGTCGACAGCCGTTGCGGGGACCGTAAGAGTATACTCATACCAGCTCGTACTTCCCAAAAGCCCGCCACCCGCCAGAGGATCGTGGTGACGCGGGTGTCTTCTGGAGGAGCAGTCCCAACTCCCAACTCCGGTTGCAACGTGGATTAGGGTTATTGCATTTGTGTGAGCGGCACGAGCAGTTTGTTGGGTTTAGGGCGGATCGATCCGGACTGGCTAACTTAGTTCAAGCCCTGAACCCTAAACCCTGAAGCCTAGACCCTGGTCTCAACCCTAAACCCTGGGCCTTTGGGTGAGCCTATGTTAGCTGGGAGCTTGGGAGCCCCAGACACTAAAGCCTGACAACTCCCGCAGCCAGGTGTGCGCAAAGTGACGGTTTGAGAGTTCGCAGGGAACCTCAAGGGTCTTTATGGGGGCTTTAAGGGGTTGTGAGGGCGCTTGGGGGTTTTCTAAGGGGCTTTAAGGGGCTTTTGAGGGTGTTACGGGGTTTAGGGTTTAGGGTTTAGGGTTTAGGGTTTAGGGTTTAGGGTTTAGGGTTTAGGGTTTAGGGTTTAGGGTTTAGGGTTTAGGGTTTAGGGTTTAGGATTTAGGGTTTAGGGCTTAGGGTGTTTATTCAGGGGTTTGAAAAAGGGGCTTCAAGCGGGTTTGAGGCGCTTCTGAAGTGATTCAAAGGGGCTGCAGGGGTTTAGGGTTTAGGGTTTAGGGTTTAGGGTTTAGGGTTTAGGGAAACTTGAGGGGTTTAACTTGGGATGTCCCCCCTAAAGCCAACAGGTCCTTACTAGGGCCTCTAGTACTCTAGTTCCCCCCACTATAATCCCAATTACGGACTGTTAGTATACGGGGGAACATCCCTAAGGCCTAAACCCTAAATCCTAAACCCTAAACCTAAGCCCTAAACCTTAAACCCTAGACCCTAAACCCTAAACTGCCTAAACCCCAAACCCTATGCTGTTAGTATAAGGGGAAACATCCCAAGGCTTAAGGGGCGTCTCAGGGAGGTTGTCACGCGTTGGGGGGCTTTGACTCCCGGAGTGCGGCAGATTTAGGGTTAGGGTTTAGGTTTTAGGGTTTAGGGTTTAGGGTTTAGGGTTCAGGGTTCAGGGTTCAGGGTTTAGGGTTTCAGTCCCAAAGTCCGAGGCCCTGTGCCAGCCAAAGGGTTTTAGGGTTGTAGGGCTTTAGGATTTAAGGGTTTTAGGCTTTTTAGGGTTTGAGGGTTTAGGATTTGAGGGTGTATTGGGGTTTTAGGCTTTTTAGGGTTTTAGAGGGTTTGAGGGTTTGAGCATTTGCTTCCTGGCAGTTGCCCCTCCGAATCGAAGACCCTTAAAATTAAACACCACCACCCCCCCCCCCCCGGTTCAGGGTTTAGGGTTTAGGGTTTCGGGTTTAGGGTGAACAGAACACTAACCGCTCAGCCCAAAGAAGCGCCGGGAAGAAGCCCTAATCCCTAGGCCCCTAAGCCCTAAGCTCTACCCCAAACCCGAAGACAGAAACGCAAACTTATCGCATCCTGTTCAGCAGGACTCATCGCAAAGCACAATGACACGTGCCTCCTCTAAAGCTCAGAGGGTAGGTGAGGAGGTTTGGGGTTTAGGGTTGGTTGTACGGGCAGGGCTATAGGACTTCTGCTGCTTTGGGGGTGTGTTATGGGGAATGCGGTTTGAAGGTTTTTGGGCGTAACTTTCCCGAGCTTTGAGCGGTTCGTGTGTCAGGTTCACGGGATGCCAATCAAAAAAAAACTTTTTTCCAATCAAGAAAAAACTTTTTTCCAATCAAAAAAAACTTTTCTCCAATCAAAAAAAAACTTTCCTTTTTCAGATAGGAGGACAAGAGGGAAGGGAGGAGGAAGGGAGGGACGGAAGGCAGGAAGGAAGGAAGGAAGGAAGGAGGGAGGGCAAGAAGGAAGGAAGGAAGGAAGGAAGGAAGGAGGGAGGGAGGGCAGGAAGGAAGGAAGGAAGGAAGGAAGGAAGGAAGGAAGGAAGGAAGCAATCTGAGGCCCCTTAACTAACTTAAAGTTGCTAAGTTTCTTGAAGCTCCTAAACTTCATTGAAGTCTCTAGGCGTTTTGAGGCCCCTAAACGTCCTTGAAGTCTCTAAAAAGTGTTTTGAGGCCCATAAACTCACGTAAAGCTTCTAAGTTCCCTGATGCCCCTAGTCTCTAAGCGTTTTGAGGCCCCTAAACTCCCTTAAAGTCTCGAAGTGTTTTCACGCCCCTGAACCCTCTTAAAGTTTCTCGGTTTCTTGAGGCCCCTAAACTCCCTTAACGTCTCTGAGCAATCTGAGGCCCTTAAACTCACCTAAAGTTTCTAAGTTTCTCGAGGCCCCTAAACTCCCGTAAAGTTTCCAAGCGTTTTGAGGGGAGGGCCTATTTTTTGGTTTTTTTGTCGATTTTCTTGGTTTGTCCTAAGAAAACCACCATTCCCTCTATATTTTTTAAAGGATTTGATGCATTTTCGTGGTTTTTCGTACGAAAAGCCGTAATTCCCTCTGTATTTTCATAGGAAAGCGTTATTTCTTGTAGGTTTTAGCAGGAAAGAAGGAAAGAAAGACAGGAAGAAAGGAAGGAAGGAAGGAAGAATGACCAAAGGAAGGAAGGCAGAAAGGAAGGAAGGAGGGAAGGAAGGAAAGAAGGAAGGAAGGAACCCTAAACCCTAAACCCTAAACCCTAAACCCTGAACCCTGAACCCTGAACCCTGAACCCTAAACCCTAAACCTTAGACCCTAAACCCTAAATAAACCCTAAACCCTAAACCCCCTAAACCCTAAACCCTAAACCCGCCCGCCACCCCACTCTCTTGTCTTTTGGGGTAGGCGGGCGCTGGTCGAGCGCTCAGTGAGACCCTGCGAGGGAGCCCCAGGCGGGCGACCGAGCTGGCCTCCAGGCAGCTTACCCTCCAGGCAGGCACAGGCCGAGACAGCAGTAGTCACTGTATTATATTATATTACCCTAAACCCCAAGCTGTCCGCGCACATTCTTGGCTCCTGCATTGGGAGGCCCCCTGGGAAGGCCCCTGGAGACCCCTGGGTCCCAACCCCCGTCCGCTGCGCTGAGGGGACCAGGGGCCGTTTTGTTGGGGCAGGCAGGGCTCTGGCCAAAAAACTCCCTTTTGCCCTGGCCTGGCCTGGCCTGCTCCCTGGCCCTGGCCCTTGGCCCTGGCCCTTGCCCTGGCCTTGGCCCTGGCCCTGGCCCTGGCCCTGGCCCTGGTTCTGGCCCTGGCCCTGGCCCTGCTGGCCCTGGCCCTGCCCTACCGCCTCACTTCCATTTGCTGCAACTTTGTGCCTGGTCCTGACCCTGGCCCGGCACCCCACCTTACCCCCTTCGCGCCAAGCCAAGCTATCCGCCACACCAGCCCTGTTTCCGTGGCGCTCTGCCCAACCCAAGCTGTTCACTGTGTGTTCTTCCTGGCTGGAGCCCCTTCGCGCCAACCAAGCCTCCCTGCCTTTCTCTGTTCCGTTTCCGTCTGCTGCAGCTTTGCGCCTGGTCCACGAACCTTGTGGAATTCCCCAAAAAGGGCGTGAGCGCTGACTCCTTGACCCTGACCCGGCCTGTTCGAGTCATCTTACCCCCTTGCGCCAAGCCAAGCTGTCCGCGCACCAGTTTGTGTTCTTTTTCGGGGGGCTTTAGCCCCTTCGCGCCAGCCCAATCTGTATTGCCTCGCTCCGTTTGCTGCAACTTTGTGCCTGGTCCTGACCCTGGCCCGGCACCCCACCTTACCCCCTTCGCGCCAAGCCAAGCTATCCGCCACACCAGCCCTGTTTCCGTGGCGCTCTGCCCAACCCAAGCTGTTCACTGTGTGTTCTTCCTGGCTGGAGCCCCTTCGCGCCAACCAAGCCTCGCTGCCTTTGTCCGTTCCTGGCCCATCCCTTCATAGCCCCTTCGCGCCAACCCAAGCTGTCTTCACGGACCCTGCCTCGTTTCCGTCTGCCGCAGCTTTGCGCCTGGTCCACACACCTTGTGGAAATCCCCAAAAAGGGCGTGAGTGCTGACTCATGTGATGGCTTGTAAAAAAATAAAAGGTCTTAACTTCTTGAGAGTTGTAAGTGGGCGGTTTTGGGGTGGGTAGGTCTGCAGACTACCGCGCGCTCCCAAAGCGCGCTCCCGTTTGGCACGCCCTAAACCCTAAACCCTAAACCCCATAAACCCTAAACCCTAAACCCTAAACCCTAAACCCTAAACCCTAAACCCTAAACCCTAAACCCTAAACCCTAAACCCTAACCAAGCGTGCTTCAAAGCCCAAGAAACTAGTTGAAAAAACATTGTGTTTGCAAGTGGGGGGGGGGGGGCTGCGCCCCCCCAAACCCCCCCGCCTCTTTTTTTGAGCCGTGCAGAGCGTGACCCCCCCACGCTTCTTTTAAGCCGCACCAAGCGTGCTTCAAAGCCCAAGAAACTAGTTGAAAAACATCGTGTGAGCATTGTGTTTGCAAATGGGGGGGGAGCTGCCCCCCCCCCCCCCCCCGCTTTTTTTAAGCCGTGCAGAGCGTGCTTCAAAGCCCAAGAAACTTGTTGACACCCATCATGTGAGCAGGGTGTTTGCAAATGGGGGGGGGGGCTGCGCCCCCCCCAACCCCCCCCGCTTTTTTTAAGCCGTACCAAGCGTGCTTCAAAGCCCAAGAAACTAGTTGAAAAACATCGTGTGAGCATTGTGTTTGCAAATGGGGGGGGGCTGCGCCCCCCCCAACCCCCCCGCTTTTTTTAAGCCGTGCAGAGCGTGCTTCAAAGCCCAAGAAACTTGTTGACACCCATCATGTGAGCAGGGTGTTTGCAAATGGGGGGGGGGGCTGCGCCCCCCCCCAACCCCCCCCGCTTTTTTTAAGCCGTACCAAGCGTGCTTCAAAACCCTAAACCCTAAACCCTAAACCCTAAACCCTAAAACCCCCTAAACCCTAAACCCTAACCCTAAACCCGAAAAACCCTAAACCCTAAACCCTAAACCCTAAACCCTAACCCTAAACCCTAAACCCTAAACCCTAAACCCTAAACCCTAAACCCTAAACCCTAAACCCTAAACCCTAAACCCTAAACCCTAAACCCTAAACCCTAAACCCTAAACCCTAACCAAGCGTGCTTCAAAGCCCAAGAAACTAGTTGAAAAAACATTGTGTTTGCAAGTGGGGGGGGGGGCTGCGCCCCCCCAAACCCCCCCGCCTCTTTTTTTTGAGCCGTGCAGAGCGTGACCCCCCCCCGCTTCTTTTAAGCCGCACCAAGCGTGCTTCAAAGCCCAAGAAACTAGTTGAAAAACATCGTGTGAGCATTGTGTTTGCAAATGGGGGGGGGGCTGCCCCCCCCCCAACCCCCCCGCTTTTTTTAAGCCGTGCAGAGCGTGCTTCAAAGCCCAAGAAACTTGTTGACACCCATCATGTGAGCAGGGTGTTTGCAAATGGGGCTGGGGCTGCGCCCCCCCCAACCCCCCCCGCTTTTTTTAAGCCGTACCAAGCGTGCTTCAAAGCCCAAGAAACTAGTTGAAAAACATCGTGTGAGCATTGTGTTTGCAAATGGGGGGGGGCTGCGCCCCCCCCAACCCCCCCGCTTTTTTTAAGCCGTGCAGAGCGTGCTTCAAAGCCCAAGAAACTTGTTGACACCCATCATGTGAGCAGGGTGTTTGCAAATGGGGGGGGGCTGCGCCCCCCCCAACCCCCCCCGCTTTTTTTAAGCCGTACCAAGCGTGCTTCAAAGCCCAAGAAACTAGTTGAAAAACATCGTGTGAGCATTGTGTTTGCAAATGGGGGGGGGCTGCGCCCCCCCCAACCCCCCCGCTTTTTTTAAGCCGTGCAGAAAGGAGTGTCTGTTTTGCCGCCCAAGACATATATACACATATATATATATACACACATGCACACTAAACTATACATATCTTTGCGTCGAATGCGGTATCGTCCAAGAGAGGCAAAACCTCTTGTAGACTACCAAGGATTTTTTTTGATTAGGAAAAAGTTTTTTTTTGATTCCCGCTTCTCGAATAAATTCATTCTAGATCTCTTATAAATACCCAAAGAAAGTTTTTTTTTGATTGGAAAAAAGTTTTTTCTTGATCTTTGGAAAATTTTTTAGATTGGTCGGGAAAAGTTTTTTTTTGATTGGAAAAAAGTTTGTTTTTGATGGGTTTTCCCAGGTTCACGCAGTCACGCAGCAGCTTGAGACCTGAAACCCGAAACCGAAACCCCAACACAAAACCCTATAAACCCTAAAGAGAGGGCTGAGGCAAATTCGGGAATCTCGGCTCAAGCAAGGCGAAGGGAACCTGTGTTTTGTTTTTTGCTGTTGGCGGTCCGCGGCGGCAGCAAAACAAAACCACGCCCCCGCGGCAACATAACAAATGAGCGGGTTTAGGGTTTAGAGTTTAGGGTGCGTACAGCAACAAAAAACACGGGCCTTCCAGTGACTGAGTGAACTCGCTCGCGCCGAGCAGCAACAGCAAAACAAATGCGCCCCGCAGCAACAACCAAAAAGAGGCGCCCCACCGTCCCGCAGCAACAAAAACACAGACGCACCCCGCGGCAACAGCAAAAACAAAACGCGCCCCGCAGCAACAGCAAAAAACATCAACAACAAAGAAGAAAG